CGTGCTGTAGATGAACTTTACTGACAGCTTCAGTGGTGTCAAAATTTCTCCTGATATTTAATCCTCAGCTCTCCCATCGTTGTAGCAGCATCACCTCAGTACGCGCATCTTGGCATGGAATTCTTTGAAAGGAATAATGTTGCTCAGCAGTTTGAGAGCAGGTTTGGGTGCCTGCACACCACCAGCTTTCTGTTCCAAATGATTTCAGTCTTTTATTCTCTAATTCTGAGCCTTAATTCCCCACGCGTATGGATACGAGCGTCTGTAAGATCCTAGGCACAAGAATCTTCTAGGAAATTTGCTGTCCTTGCCTTATTGTTTGAACTGCCCTGGGAAACATTAGCCCAAATAGCAAGATACTATAAAAGGAGTGCTGTACCTGTGCGAGGATTTGGTTAACTCCTTCCTCAGGTAATACACTGCCACTTCTATCAAGCACACACATCGTTTCCAGATAATGGCAATTACTCTGCAAGCATCTCGCAGAGATTCAGACTCCAGTTTGTAAATCACTGCTCCCTCCAGCAAAGAGATCTGAGAGGTGAAATTGCCTCTAATAGTCCCATGCACCCTCCTGTTTCTTTGGCATTCACTATCTTTGGTTAAAAGAGGCCAGGATAATAAAAATGTCACTTTTGTACAAAGCTGCTTTCCCTTTGGACAGGCTACTGCAAAAGGAGATGTGAGGCAGTGTATTATCAACCTCGCAGAGAGGCTTTTTATCAGACTTGCTGTTGCTCAGCTTCTGCCCAGACAACAGGCATGGGGCAGGTGGTGACATTTAGGGCTTTTAGATGTGCTGAAGAAGAGTCAGGCTGGGCTTAGCCGAGTGTCTTCAGGAGGCATTGTTTTGCAGAGCTGATGAAGCTCTGGTAGCTCCAAGTCTTCACAATAGAAAATTGCTGAAGTCTTTGCAAGAACAGAAAACAAGAGAAGTCTGAAAGAAACTTTTCCCCCTGCTGACCATGGTGACTTTTTCTATTTAAATAAGCGCTGATCTTGCTTAAGGAAGTGAAAGTTTCAGTGGGGACAGGATTTGCTTCTGGAGAGGTCTAAACTGGCAGGCAGGAGCTTGAAGACATGGATTTGTCATCAAGTTTGTGTGAAAAAAGTACTTCTTTCTGTTTGTTTTAAACCTGCTGCTCATGTTTTCTTGCATTCTGAGAATAAACGAGCAACTGTTCTTTAATAAACCCCCCAAATCAGGATTCTACTTAATTCTGTCATCCTGTTTCCTGCCCAAAGAGCCCTATACTGCTCAACAAGAGATGCAGCAGTAAAATTCAAGAGCTCATTACTGAAAAACCTGACCTGGTTCTTTTGCTGCCTGTTGCCCTACACCACATAATAGCAGAGCCTCGGCTACTGTCCCCAGATTCCTCTGGGGCACATATTCTCCTTTGCTTTACACTACTACAAGGGAATGAAACTCTTAATGACAGACACTAGCAACATGGGAAAGCCAGGAGAGGAAGAGAGCAAACTAAAGCAGTAGCACCCAGTGAGAATAAAGGCATTGATCGCTGAACAGAGTGCTAGAAGAAAGATGGAGGAAGAAGGAATACTAAGAATAGATGTCCTTTAAAACTCTGAAGATAAATGGCTGTTATATAGGGTGCTGACTGACAGAGGGGCTTTGATTTCCCTTAGAAAGTTATCTTTCCCACTATCCTTTTATTTACTGCCTGTGTACAACTGAGACAGAACCCTCAACAATGCAACATGAGATCACACTTCAAGACATGCAAGAAAAAGAAAAACAGGTAGATTTTGTGCAAATCATGTAATCCTTTCTGACTTATAAATAGAGATGGGGGGGCTGCCTCTTTGGAAAATGCTTGGAGATGCACTGGTGGAAGAAATGATGTGAAAGAGTTGTGCTATTCAAACCCAGGGCAACACATTAAAGGAAGCTGCACAAGAAGGGAAACCTGTGGCACTTGGTTAATGAACATGCGTTTCAAAACCTCCCTCAT